AAAGAAAGAAAGAAAGAAAGAAAGAAAAAGAAGATCCCTGAGTTTCTTAGTGTCTTAATCAATGAGGCGGAAAACAAGCAAAAAAAAAATAGCAAACCAATCTCTGCACCTTTCAGCTACGGAACGCGGATCAAAACATTGCAGCATCTGTTGAAAGAGAAAGTGTCTAAATCCTATCGAGGGCCTGGGCATTTCAAAGTCAGAGGGAGGGGGGGTTGGTGGAGATAAGAACAAGTGCCTCAGTGATCCCTAAAACCGCTAAATCACTGGAGAATTTCTGCCCGATAGACTTGTCTCTTTTTGTTCTGCCAGGCCGTGTCGTCATTATTTTATTCACCGCCGCATGGCGTTTATCAGATTGAAACCATATTTGTCCCCCTCTGAGACCTAACCTCGCCTTATGCGGCGGCAGTAGTGAACTCTTCAAACCCAGTAACGTAGGCCGGCCTGGGGGGGGGGGGGGGGGGGGGGGGGGGGGGAAGGAGGGGGCGGGTAAGGATAGGGGTGCAGTCATTTGCGCCAGCAAGCAAAGCTATTCCCTTGGAAGTCCGATCTGATTTCGACTCCTAGGCACTTTTGGGCGAGTCCCGGGGGTCCCAGTCCTAGCTGCTGCCTCTGGTCCCGCGCCTGCGCGAGTGTGGGAGCGTACACACTCTGCAGGTTGGAGGGAAAGCGTGGACGCATCTGAAAAGGTCTCTGCCTCCGGCTCGCCACCCCCACCTTCATCTCCCGCCCTCCTCCTGCCGCCCCCAAGCCCAACTTTTCTCTTCTTGGGGATCCGATAAGGCCCGTTAGCCACTGAGTCCTTGCTATATCCTTCTTCCCCATAGGTGTCCAGGAGTCAGGAAGGAATCTGGGCTGGTCCCTTCCATGACCCATGGCTTAGCACAGTATATAGTTAGCATATATAATACGTATATAGTTAGCATACAGTAAGCGTTCAATAAATGTTTTTTAATTCGTTCGTGTTAGTTCTGAGTTTGGCCCAATCGTCAACCTTTAACCCTAGCTCACTTGGACGAAAGTGTCTACTGTTCTTCGGGTCTCTTGCTTCCACAACCCAGAGAGGGTCCTCCCTAGTCCCCAGGCCAGATTTCTATACAGGGGCCCAAACCTCAGCCCTACTAACAAGTAAGCAACCTCGTAACAGAGGGTAGAAAGATCAGGTACATTCCAGCAAAGGCGAGAGGTTACAGCACACCCCCCTCCCCATCTTTTAGACAAAGGGCATCCTCTCCCAGGATGGAGAGGTGGGAGAATGGGAGTAGGAGGGGGCGGAGTGTTCCATGGGGTTTCCAAATGCCGGGGCAGGGTGGAGGAAGAAGAGGGGTGAGGCGACTTGCCTTGAGAGGAAGCAGGGCTCCTCCCTCTATCTCTATGTGTGTCTGGTCCAGGAACACCTGAGTGTGTCCCGAATGCATGTCAGTGGGTATGTTGGCGGGTGTGTGCCTGTCAACTGAAGAGGGACAGAGCGAGGAAAGCAGGGAAGCGAAAAGTGGACTGGAGACAAAATGGTAGATGGAAAAACGAATCGACAGAGATTTGGGGGGTGGGGAGGGGTAAAGAGACAGGGAGATGGGGGAAAGAGACGGAAAGAAGACAAGATCGAAAAAGAAGGGAAGAGGAGAGAAGGAAGGGAAGGAAGAGGAGGCAAGGAAGGAGGGAAAGGGGAGGGGAGAGGAATGGAGGAGAAGGGAAACGAAGCGAGGAGGGGGGAAGGGAAACGAGGGGAAGGGGAGGGAAAGGAAGGGAAGGGAGGGGAAGGGAAGAGAGAGAAGGGAAGGGGAGGGAAGGAAAGAGAGGGAAAAGGGGTGGGGAGAAAAGAAGAGGGGAGGGGAAGGAAGGGAAGGAAAGGGAGAGAGAGGGGAAGGAAAGGGAGAGAGAGGGGAAGGAAAGGGAGAG